TAACATTATAATTAAAATCAATTTTTATCTCGTAAAATAAAAGTTAAATAAATTTGTTCGATAATGAACGTACACGTGTGTACGTGTGTGTATGTATAAATTAAATGAAATTGTTTGAAATGGTAACGAGAGATTGAACACACACAATGTCACGAATAAATCGGAATAAAAACGATATTGGATAATAGATAAAGAATAGATTGTTAGATAAAGGATTATTTGTTTAATTAATATGCTTTATTCGGTTAAATCGATTTTGTTAACAACAACAACAACAATAACTTTAAAGGCCGTATATAAAATAACAGCTCGGGGACGACACGTGACGCAAGTGAGAGTAAGTAAGGAAGGGTTCATAATAGGTCACGGACTCACGTGGGGTGTAAATGGCGTATTATTAATAATAAAAATTGATTGCTTCGAACGAGAGCTCGTTTCAGCCAATCTTCGAGGATCAGCCCGATCGAACCCACGAACTTTCAAACGTTCTTTAATCTTTCTAATACGATCTCTCATCTAATGGTGAGAACAATGGATACAAAAAATCAAGTGGAATAAAACAAAATTTGATTTTTGCAAGTGTCTCCTCGTTTACGCGTTTGGAATACTATTCTTTATTTTTTTTTTTTTTTCTATTTGGAAAAATAAATTCTCTCAAATTAGTGTGCCTTTCTTTTTCTTCTTTATATTCGTTTTTGTTTTTTTTTTTTTTCTAACATAAGTTAAATTTTACAATAGTATATTATTATTATTATTCGCGATTATTTAACCTTTTTATTTAACCTATTACAAATTTGAACTGTTGGAATTTTAAATCAACGCGCATTCATTGTATCGTCGTATTAAAATGATGCGAATAAGCGTAATAGGAAAAGGAGGATGATTAAAAAAAAGACAGAAATGGATGAATACAATAATTCGTTTGAAAATAATATACACGATTTCTTTTACGGATTCGGAAATGAATATTATTATTCTCTTATGTTAATATATCTCATCGTGTCTTGTATTTCTTTTTTTTTCTTTTTTTCTTGTTATTCTATATATCTCTATGTTTTCATAGTTAATTTGAAAGTAGAATATACTTCTTTATTTTTGCTTTTTCTTAAATTATTCATTAACCATTTTTTTTTTTCAAGTCTAATGTCTAAAATCTAAGGAATTTTAAATCAACGTAATTAAGTATTCGACATTAAATCAATTATTATTTATATATTTTGTTATAAAATGATGTGTATAAGAGAGAAATACACGGAGTAGAATAAACAAGAGATAGAAAAAAAAATATCAAGAGAGGGGGAGGGGAGAGAAAAAGAAAAAAATTCATTTGAAAAAGCGAGTCCTACGATATATTATAGAAATAAATCCTTCGTTATAATATGTTATCGTATTATTATAATATTTATATGTATATGTATGATTTTTTTGTTGTTTTTTTTTTATGTGTAATGGTTAATTTAAAAGTTTTTTTATTATATTATTATAGTTAGTTTTTAATATAGTTTTAAATTTATGGTTTAATTATAAATTATTTTTATATCATTTAAAAAATAATTTATTAACCTCTATAAATCAAATAATATAATTTAAGAGAGATCCATATAGACACATATATATACACACACACACACAAACAATAAACAAACATAATACATACACATATATACATCTATGAATAATATAATATATCATTCTATATAAAAATGAGATAAGTAATAAATAGAAAAATAAGATAAAATAATATCAATTTCTCAAAAGTCGAATTAATTCTCTTATATTATAAAATAACAAATTAAAAATAAATTTAAAAGTGCATCGTCCCTTTTTTTATCATATACATATATATGTATAACATCGTATACCTTTCCTTCCATCCTTCCTTCCTTTCAATATTTTAAGGATGGCATTTAAACGAACCTTGCTAAAAATCTTGACTTAACTTACTTAACCGAACTGAGAGCATGGAAACCTCACACTGACATGAAATGAACCGCTTATTATCACCGTTATCCATTCTTGATAACGGGACCTTGTCTTCTCTCTCTCTCTCTCTCTCTCTCTCTCTCTTTCTTACTTTTTCTTTTCTACTATCTGTCCTTCTCTTTATAGTTGACTTAGCAGATTGCTTTTTATTCTATCCTCGTCTTTCCAGGAAGAATAATAATAATAATAGTAATAATAATAAGAAGAAGAAGGTCTCTCTCTCTCTCTCTTTCTCTCTCTCTCTCTCTCATTTCCCCCTTTTAACTATATACAAACCCTTCGCGTTCTCTTGGAATACTCTTAATTGGACACGTGCTGGGAAATTCCGCTGAGATATTTCATTTTTGGCCCTTTTGTAGAAACGGGGTAAGAAGGGAGAGGGTATATACGACGTAGTAGTATTTTCTAGTCCTCGTGGTCGTCCATTTATATCCTCGACAGTTCCCCTCACCTTTGCCACCATCTCTCACTCTATCTCTATCTCTCTTTTTCTTTCTATTTCGTTTTTTTCTTTCTGTCTTTCTTTCTTTCTTTTGTCTTGAACTAAAACCACTTTGGGAGTATGGACTCGTTAAAATTTCTTTGGAAAAAAATAAGAAGAAAAACCAAACAAATACTTGGAGATGACGTTTAAATAATAATCTATTTAATTATTAGATACGTAATAATAATAATAATAATAATTCTACATACCATGTGTCTCTCGAATCTTATCGATGAATAAAAAAAGAGAATATTTTGTAATAGTAGCGTTAGAAAATTAATTGTATAAAATGAACGATAGAATATCTATGGTGTTCTGCATTGTAATTTTGTTTCTAAACGTTTGTTTTTTTTTCTGTTTTTTTGTGTTTGCGAAAAAAAAAGAAAGAATTCTTCCTACTCGTGTAAAAGAAGTTTTTGAATGTTATATATGGGGGAATTGGAAGGAAGATGGGAGATGGGAGTGGGAGTGGAGAGAGGTGAAAAGAAGGAAAAACTGTAAAAGATAATAATATCGTTGAAGAAAGACTACGACGACGTGGACGACGAGGACGACGAGGACGAGGACGAAGAAGAAAACGATGAGCAAGAAATGGGAATAAAAGTTTTGGCTTGGAAAGTAAAAAAAAAGAAAAAAAGAAAAAAAAATAATTCAGAAGGATCTCCTAGCGTGGTTTTCTTTTTTTTTTTATTTTTTCTTTTCTTTTATTTTCTTTTTTTCCGTTTACCGTAGTGCGCGCTCGTTTTCGCACGTGAAGTAAAATCTCCCGTTTTCTTAACGCGAGAGGATGTGATGGTAGTAAATGGCAAGGGTGAGGTGGGGTGGGGTGGGGTAGTTAAGGATAAAATAAAAATGGCTACGAATTTTTACGCTGACGTAGCGTTAAAACGAATCGATATATATATATATATCAGATATTGCAATACTGTAAATTGTATAACTTTGCTAATTCTTTGAAAACTTTTAGTAAATATTTTTTATACTAAAAGTGAATAGATTTTAATGAAATTTATATTAAATTAAAGTACATTCTTTTGTCTACGCGTAAAATACCTTTTCGAGTTACAAATCAATCTGGAAAAGTTCATCAAATGGCAAAGAATGCAATGCTGCAAATTTTTCCTACTTTGCCATTTCTTCGAAAAGTTTTGGCAAATATTTTTTATACTTAGAGCAAGCGGATCTTAATGATTTTTATATTAAATTAAAGAGCACACTTTTGGCTACACGTAGAGTACCTTTTCGCGTAATAAATCAATCTGCAAATGTTCATAAAATGGCAAAGAAAAGTTGGCAGATTAGGCAATGTGAACAATGCCTGATGGTCAGGCATTGTTTACATTACCGGACTAGGTTCCAAATCTCCCCCGGCAATTCCTGGACTTAGGCAATGTGAACAATGCCTAGTCCGCTAATTTTTCTTTGCCATTTTATGAACCTTTGCGAATTGATTTATTACGCGAAAAGGTACTCTACGTGTAGCCAAAAGTGTGCTCTTTAATTTAATATAAAAATTATTAAGATCCGCTTGCTCTAAGTATAAAAAATATTTGCCAAAACTTTTCGAAGAAATGGCAAAGTAGGAAAAATTTGCAGCATTGCATTCTCTGACATTTTCTGAACTTTACATGCTAAATTTATAACTCGATATGGTATTCTACGCTTAGACAAAAGAGTTTACTTTAATATATAATATAAATTTCATTAAAATCTATTTACTTTTAGTATTATGTTCGATGCCTAGGAATAACTGAAAGAATTTTTGAATTTCCGACTTCGTCTGAAAGCTCTTTGCATTCATAGTAATGCCGAGGAATTACTAGCAATGACTGATTTCCGGCTACGACGGTAACATATACATATATAATATATATGTATAAACGTATACACACACACACACACACGTATAAATCATTAATGCTGACCATTCTATATAATCTCAATCTCTCGGAATTAAATTTTGGTGCATCATATATGTATACTATGTATATGATGAATGCTCGTATATTGTGAGTCGATAGCTTTTGAAAATTCAACGAGATGTTTCTATATAAAATACACACACCTATATATATATATATATATTTACAGGCCAATGTGTCCATTTCGTGCACCGTCGAGTATCGAATTGCAAATGAAAATTTGTATTAACCAATCCTTTTCATTTTCCTTTCTCCTATCCTTCCCCCACTCCTCACTCTCATTTTTTTTTTTTTTTTCTATTTGATATCCCTTTTACGTACTTGTTTCATTGAAATAAATCAAATAACATACAAATTGGGAATACAAAATCAACAAGGTTTTAATCTTTCAATCTTTCAACATATTCACAAATCTTTCGGTATAAATATATTTATATTGTATATCACAAACGCGAAAAAAGTGTATGTTTATGTGTGTGTGTGTGCTATTATTTATTCCTTTTTGCTAACGATAATTATATTTCAACTAAAATATAAAAAATCGAAGAATATATTATACACGCGAGCATCTAATGTGAAATAATTGAAATAAATAATATTTACGTTTATAGAAAAGTTGAGAACCCCGTTGGTTTCTTGGACCCGAGAAGAAGAGGACGAGGACGTGGAAAAAAAGGGGGAATAAGAGGTGGCAGAGGGTAGAGAGGGGGAAGGAAGGTAAGTAAAAAAGAAAAAAAAAAGTAGAACGACGAGTTACCTCTGGGTTTGAGTTGAAGTAAAGGCGGGGGAGATGAAAAGAGAGTGGTATTAGTGTTAGTGTTGGTGTTGATGTTGGTGTTGGTGTTGATGTTGGTGTTGGTGCTGGTTTGACGGGGAGGAGTAATTCCACCGAACAGTTATACGGCTCTGATGTTATACGGGCCCTCGTTCGCCGATGATCGTAGGGCCTCATTTCGAACGGCACGATCTCTGTTCGAAAGATCGAAATCATCTTTTATCTTAGCTCAATGATCTTTCCCCTTTGAACTTTAATTCTCCTCTATCCTATTCTTTATCTATTTCCTCCCCCCTCCCGCCAAACTCAACCCCACACTCCACCCCAATCTACGTTTACTAACTTCGATCTTACCTCCGTTTTAGATTTGATTCGTTTAATGGAAAATTATAAAAGTGGTGTCTAACATAATTGAAAAATGTAAAAAAAAATGAGTTTATTTTAAATGAAATTAATATTCAATGTGTCATTTTCATAAGATATATTGTTAAAAAATAAATCGTTAGATTAGTGTTTGTTATATTTCAATGTTAGATTGAATTCATTTAATGTTTTCAATGTAATCCTTTAAAATATATCTGAAAATATGAGATAATATTATGATTTGGATTAATTTTTATAATTGTGGGGCGCAGATTTTTGTTTTGCGAGGAATAAACTATTAACTTTATTTGATCTTATACAATTGTTAATGTTTAATAATAAAAATCTGTATTGATTGACGTTTATGCGAAACTGTGATAGAACTTTTCTAGAAGTGTTAATAAAATTTCTAAAAGAAACCATATAATAATAATAATAATGATAATAATAATAATAATAATGGGGGAAAAGTAAAAGACGAAAGGTTGGTTGGTTGTACCATTAGACACCCCTTTAATTTTTCTCAAAAGACTTTGTGCTGCTCATCAGAAGAGTTTCTTCCACTTCTGATTTGAAACACCCCTAGGAAGGTAGTAGCTGATTTTGACGGGATTAGTGGTAGTACTAGCGTCTAGACATCCATCTTGATGACTATGACGATGCCTCTTAACATATACACCACTACTAATATTACCAAAAAAAAAAAAGGTATAAGAAAAAGTGAATAAAATATACTTTATTTTATAGAATAGAAAAATATTCTCAATAAATAACAAAACAAAACAAACACACACATGTGAACGTTACTTAATTATCGATTAATTCATATTATTTTGTTTAAATTGTTTAACAATAATACAATAATATTGTTGATGATTATTAAAAATCGATTTATGGCGTAAGTTTTTCTTTCCTCGATCGATTTGGTTTTTTTTTTTTCGTTGTTCGTTTTTATTCTTCTCCAGTTTTTCTATCATTTCAAGATGAAATCAGTCAGCGAGAAGAATGAAAAAAGATAGATGGATGGATGGATGGATGGATGGATGGATGGATGGATGGATGGATGGATGGTAGGTACTCGTCTTGCCAGGTTTCTTCTTTCTTTCCATACCAAGGAAACTGCCCTTGGCTAAAAAGGCGTTCCGAACGAAGGCCCTTCAAATGCGTGGAGCCAAAGAAACGAAACGAAACGAAAGAATTCCTTCTTAGGAATCCGATTCATCGAAATATTTTTCTTATTTTCAATACAACCAAAATTTCTTTTACCTTAGATCTTAGATAATTTGTTGTCAAATCTATTATATTATTGAATATATTAGATGAATCAGTGTAGAACATTCTACATATTATATATAATATATTGGGTTAACCCGTAAAAAATTTCTTACCTAGATTTATTCAGAAAAATTCTAAACGATAATTATTATTACATTTACCTTTAAATCGAATACGAAATTTACAGATAACGTTAGATTAATCTATAATAAAAAATCACTCTACCGATTTATATAAACATATATTATATAATATACCATATTATATTTCAAAATAAAATAAAATAACACAAATTGTAAATATAAGAATTATTTTCATTGAAAAATCGCGTTCAACTATTTTATCAAAAGTTATTACGTTATAATATATATATATATATCATGAAACATAAAATTTTACTAAACCCGTATCAATTCCAGATTTACCTATACATTACTAATTCTCTTCACTATGTTGAAACACATCTAATTTATTTACACCACCGATGAAAGATTTATTTTTTCTAATACGTAAAATCGATTCACCGATAGACAACTGAAATTACATAACAAATAACACGCATATTGGCTGACTGGTGATACGTAACGCGTACCTATTGGACAAATCTACAAAAATATTCCAACCTAAATTTTATTGATAACGAAACCTGTATCTATGCAGCAACACTACCAGTTTGCCTACACAATAACGAATTTTTTTCACGACGTGTTATTCCCAATACGAACAACATGCAACAGCAACGGTTTGCAACATATCAGAATAATATATCTTTTACATTGACCATTGGCGAATAAATTTTAAAAGAGAGAGAGAGAGACCCTCTCTCCCCCTTCCTTCTTACCCTTTCCTCCCCCATTTCTAAAGAATCAGAAAAAGAAAAAGGGTCGAGATTTCCTTTTTAAAATTTAACAAAAAATCTTCTTTGATCATCTTATACAAAACAAGAACACCTTTTTTCCCCCATTCATTTTTTTTGTTGTTTCATTCTACTACAAATATTTTCTCTTTCGACTATCGGAAGAAAATCAGATCGAATATATTGTCGAGTTTTAATGCACGTACCCCCCTTCCCCCGCCCCACCTTCTCCCCTTTCCCTCTCCAGGTTGTTCCTATTGATTTTAGAGAACCTTCCAGCGAATCTGCTTCCCTCCCTTCTACCTACCACCTTCCCCCTCCCCCTCCCCCTTTTTGCCCCATTGCGGCCTGGTTGCTTGCTAGCTTGTGCTTTGCCTGGCCCCGACGGTTTACACATACGCAAAGGCTCGATCCTCCTGTTAACTCTCCCCCTTTTTAGCCTTCGTCAAGTTTTCGGCTAGGGTCGCGAGAACGTAATTTGAATACACGGCCCAACCCCTTTTCTCTATCTCTCTGTCTCTGTTTCTCTCGCCCTAAGCTCCGGCTCCGCGGTAACAGCACCCCTTTTCCACCCAGTCAATTTCACGTTCGCCAGAGGGGCGGGGGGATGAATTTTCTCGGTCTAGAAAATTTCAGGCAAAATATTTGTATTATTGTCGGTTACCTGGATTTTTTTTTGTTCTTTTGCTATCTTACTTTCTTTCTTTCTTTTTCCTTTGTTGGTGGGTGGGGAGGAGGAAGAGGAGGAGGAGGAGTGTTGGCTGTATTTAAAAAATTAGGGTATTTGGGTATAGTTTACTTTTTATATGCATCTATGTTTGTATATATATAATTAATAAATTCATTATATTATAAAAATTATAAATGTAAGATTTGTTGTTGTTGTTGGTTTCACAAATTTTCTAGCTTGGGATTAGCTAGGTTTAATTATTAATTACATTTAAATGAAATGCATATATACGTACTCTTGCATAGAATTTTTATAATATACATACTCAAATATATTTCCATATATTGTTGAGTATATAAAATCACACATTACATACACACATATATATATATATGTGAAAAATATTTGTCGATAGGTTTTTTACATATATTATTTCTATATGTATATGTACACACACATACGTGAATGTAGGAATCTTCAAATGATGGAAGTTTGCCAAGTAGAAAAATACTTTCGATAAGGTGAAACCGAATTGAGGAATTCGAATGGCTTTTTAATCGTTTGCTTTGTCGTCGACCTCACTCGCTCAGTCAACCTTCTCTCTCTCTCTCTCTCTCTCTCTCTCTCTCTCTCTCTCTCTCTCTCTTTCTCTCTTACTATTTTTTTTTTATTTTTTAGACTCTTTCAGTTATATTTTAAGCCATTTTATTTTAGGTCGTTGAAGGATATCATCTAAGGAATGCTTCTTTCTTTCTTCCTTCCTTTCTTCGCGTTCACACAGTGACCTTATAATATATTTTCAGATATATTTATTTGCAATATAAACTTTTTTGCAATTTTCATTCGAAGATTTGTGTTTGTTTTTTTTCTTTCTTTCTTTCTTTCTTTCATTTTTTTTTTTTCATATATCGCATCTTCGCACAATCCGATTTTTACGAAATATTAAAAAAGTAAGAAAAAGTCAAATGAAATAAAAAAAAAAATAGAACGAAAATAAAAAAGAAAAAAGAGGAAAGAAAAGTATTGCAACATTAATTTGAAACAATTGACTAAGGTTGGAGAAGAGGGGTGTGGGGGTGTGCGCGTTAAATATGATTGGTTCTTTAAATTGTGGCAAGTAAAATTTTTTTTCTGTGCTTTCTTCTCGTTTTAAAAATAAAGAAAATAATAATATGAGAAAAGATCAAGGATTTCTATTTCTTTCTCTCTCTCTCTCTCATTCATTCTTTTTGTACGCGTAATGTGTTTGGAAATATTTATAAAAATTGTGCAGACGATTTCGAGTGAGAGAGAATGCGCGTGCAACACGTTCTAATTTTATTCCTGTTCGAAATTCGAAAGGTTCAACGTTCAACTTCGAAAACATTATTCCTTGATTCTTATTATTATCGTTATTATTATTATTATTATTATTATTATTATTATTATTATTATTATTCCAGTTTTCGCCCTCGAAATTCTACTTTCGTTCTTTGCTGGTGGTGGTGGAGGTGGTGGCGATGGTGGGTGGTGGTCGTCGTCACGATTATAAATAACATTGGTGGAACGTTTTTGTGGAAAAAAAAAGAAAGAAAAAAAAATAGCGCGCAAATATTGCCATTTCATGGTCATTTGTTTTTTCTTTTTTTCTTTCTTTCGGAACGGAAATCGCACAGAGAAAAAGAAAAGAGAAAGAGGAAAGGGAAGATAAGATCGAATTGTTTTGTTTCTAGAGATATTTCCTTTTTTTTTTTGTATTTTCTAAAAATGCCACAGATTTTTATTCGAGCGATTTTAAC